CCCACCCCCCGCTTCCACAGCAGCTCTATGGGGAGAAGAGGCTCTTCACCCAGGTCCTCGCTGAGGCCGTGATTTGACTGGCTGGGCCCATCTGGGCTGCTGTTGATGGAGCTCACTCTGCCCTCCACCCCACCCGAGGTGTAGGAGGGTGACTTTATGAAAGAGTATGAACCCCCTGTTCTCACCCAGCCCGCTGGGCTAGTCCCAGCTCAGGGGCCGCCCACTGCACTGGCTGGTGAGGTGAAAGAAAGCAACAGGAAGATACCTTCACGCTGTTCTTGAAGGTGCTCAGGTACAGCCTGTCCTGTGAGGAGAGGGGGGTGAGCAGTCGCAGTGAATCGGGCTTGCCTTCTGCGTGGCTCTCTGCTCGCCCACGCCCAAGAGGTGCTGACCTTGGCGTAAGCACTTGAAACACCTTTGCCTCCCCGCTCCACACTGCAAGCCCCGCCCTGCCATGCTGACCCTGGGGCTCCTTCCCAGGAGGCACTGGGGCCTTCTCTGCAACCCTGACTCAACCCGAACCCACAGGAACAATTAGACTAAACCCTGCCACAGCTCCCGGGAGGGTTGGCTTCTCACTTCCCACCCAGCTGGCTGGGGTGGCTGTGTCACCCCTTTCTCAACCCTGTCTCCTCCCAACAGAGCATCACTTTCTGCTAATACAAGTCCGGTCCCTACTCCCTAAGCCCCCTTGCCACCCTCTGCCCCTCCTAAGCAGTCTGAGCTCCTTTCTACCCAAGCAAGAGAAGTCAGGCCCTCTGAGGTCCTGCCTCATGCAAGCCCAGCTCAGTGGAACTCCTCTGGGAACTCCTCTGAGGAGTTCACAGAGGTGAGGGAGCAGCTGCAGAGGTCCAAGAATCTTGCAACAATATGTGAGTGAACACGGGGGCCTGGATCTGCTTTGGCTTCCTGGTTAATGTCTGCTTTTCCAGCTCCAGCTTCCAAACGACCACCCTTACCCCTGTTGGCAGATATTATTCTGGGTCTCAGTTCCTCGCCCCTCCCATCGTGCCACGGAGACAGTGGCTAAAAGGAGACCGAGTGTCCTTGTGTCCCAGCCTGCTCTTGACGTTCTCCCCACCCCCTAGCCTTCCAAATGAGAGCTGGATGGAGATGTGTTCTTCTTTCCGACTGGAAAGACCTGCACGTAGCCCAGACTTGTGCTAGGGCTCATTGTGACATGAAGAGATGGAGGAGCACTATAGGGCCTCCCGGCCACCAGGGGCTGTCATCCATCACAGTCCAACCAGACAGGGCACTGTGGATAACCGGTTAACTGGCATCAGGAATGAGTGAGTAGGTGAACAGAGCTGGGGTGAAGGTGAGATCGTGCTATGCAATGAACTGAGAAACCTTACTGAGACTTTAAAAGGCTTGAAAAGATGCTTTAGGTGGAGCCGCTGCTAGGAGGTGCTTTTCACTCTACCTGGCTCGGACATGTGATGTTGATGTCGCTTTGAAAATCATGCTGCGTTGCCTTCTGGCCGATAGGTTCCAGCTAAACCAAAGCAGAAAGATGGGGCGTGAGAAAGGTGGCAAGAATGGAAGGTCAGGCTGTGGGTCAGGGCTGGAGAGGGGAGGGAGGAACAGAGGGAAAGGGTTTATTATCATTGCTGTGCCAGGACCCCCACAGCCTGAGTGATGGGCCTCTGAGGCCCTGCGAAAGCTTTCTGGAGTCTTTGTCTTTTCGGAGGGAGGAAGATTCTTCCTCCCTCGGTCATCTTACCATATTGTTCCAGAGCGCAGTGGCTGCGTGGCCGTGAGTCTTTTTGCTGAAGTGGAAACAGTCAGGAGCAAAGTAAGAGCTGTCGGGAACCCCCTCCTGGTCCCAGGGCAGACAAGAGGGGCCAAGTTAGGAGACGTCAGGTAACATAGATAATGCTCAGAAACAGCTGGGCACTCTCTGTGCTCCCCATTTATCCATGATGCTTGTCTTATTTACCTCGGTCTTTGGTATGTTCACGTTTTCAAAGAATGGCTGCACAACCACTGTAAAATCGTCCTTCGTGTCGTATCGTCTAGTGTTAACCAGCTCGTGAATCTTCTCCTGCAGGAGGCAACAGGACAGGGGTCATGGGGGCTTTGTGTCTGCTCGGCCTTTGTGGGATCCCTTTCTCTGCCATAGAATTAGACAGAGCCTGACCTTTGAGTGAAATCAATCTGCAGCAAAATCTCAACTGATCAGGAGCCAGTTAGTACTTTTTAGATCAGCCTTTATCTCAAACCCTGGCCCCAGCCTCCACTGCCATTGCACACCTTTGAGCTAGGCTGTGAGAAGAGGAACGTAAGGAAAAACCTAAGTCCATCAGTTTGATCCCCTTTAAAGCTTTTGATTTAAATTTGGGGAGAGGTACATATTTGGTTAAGTGACTGTCTGGATAATCCCTTCATTTACTTTATTTCTGTCTTACATTTGTTCAGAAAGTCAACGGTGAATCCACAATGACATATAATGCCTGTTTATATCACCTGTGCCTGCACACCCCTGTGAGACTCTCAGGTCTGTCCAGGAGGGTAATGAAGCTGGTACTCTCACAGCTTCCACTTGGGCTCAGTTCCAGGAGGACCAATTAGCTCAGTTCTGGCTCCCACTCGGCCAGATTGCCATCTTACTGCTTGCCAGGTTCTCACCATTCGGGGCCATTGCCATCTTACTGCTTGCCTGGATGGAGAGGGAAGTCAGGTTTGCATACCTGAGGACATTAGTGTGGTCACTGCAAAGATACCTTGCACTTTCTTTGCTCAGGGCCAGCCAGAAAGAGAGCCTCTATACTGGGAATGCCTCAGTTTTGACTTCCCAGGGGAGTCTCCTTGTTACAGGCAGAGCCTTGGGTAAGCAGAAGGTGCGATGCCACTAACTAGCTGTGTGACTCTCAGCAAGATGCTTTTCCTCTCTGGATCTCTATTTCCTTATCTGTAAATGGAGGATGTTTGGCAAGACATGGACCATTCCTTTAATCCTTTCTAATGCTACTGGTTACTCCATGGACCAGACACAATGGCTCACAGTGGCACCATGCATGTAGAGAAATGAAAGAAAGTGTCTAGAATGCCTGGCACCTGGTGGTACTATGAACAATGATCGTCTCCAGGGAGAGTGAATGGGAACCATAGCTTTTGCAGAAAGTAGGGAGTGAGAGGATTCTGAGTGGGCAACGATGGCCTCAGGTGGCTGAGCTGTGAGCTCCTCCAGCATGCTCAGTTAAGGTCTCAGTGGTAACCCAGATCAGACCTGGAACAGCTGGCCAATCTAGAAAGGTTGGTGATGGCAATTTAGGCGAATAGTTCCTTTGGTCTACCCAGCATCTGAACCTGCTTCCTATGTTTGAAAAATTCTGCTGTATGAAGAGCAGCCTGCCTCTCACTGTAGAAGGTGGGGACGTGCCAAGGTCCCCAGTGGATGCTCCCACCTCGGGCTTGGGGTTGGAAACTAGTGGTAGAAAGATGAAGGCACACAAACTCCATTCTGTTGAGGGTGGCAGCTGCATCCAAAAATGGTGTCCACAGTGTCTCCCCTGGACTAGTTCTTTGGCCTAATTTTGATTCTTAAGGTTTGGCCCCTAAAATTCCATGATTCTGGTGGCTTGGCCTCTGACCCTAGCTTTCTAGCTCTTCCAGATATTCTGCTTAGAAAATTAACCTGCTTAAATTAACCAGAATGGCACAAGCTTTTGTTGCTTGCATCCAAGAACCCCACCTGGACAGGTTTGCTCTCATGGCCATAACCTTGGCTGCCTTCCCTCTCCTGGTATGGGCCATGGGGGCACAGGCATCTGCCCACAGAGAAGGCAGTGCAGCTGGGGAGTCACCCAGAGGGCTGGGCCATAGTATCAGAGCATGATAAATAGTGTCATTCTCCTGGCAGGTATGGCCCCAATACCCCTGGCAGGTATGGCTGCCCCCAAAGAGTCTGCAGAGAAGTGGTTCTGCTCTAAGGAGTCCTTAGGACTTGAAGGATGAATCCACTCTGGAAGCTGTTTGCAGTCCATTCTAGAAGGGCTGGAAGGCAACCACTGACCTCTTGAGTGACAACGCAATTCATTTGGGGGGAAACTCAAGATAGAGTCTGGGGAGTCAGCTGCTCTGGTCAAAGCTTTGATGAAGAAAGGTCTAAAGTGAACAACCCACAGGCTGGAGGATACCTACTGACTTTCTTTCTCCTCGTGCTCCCTAATAACACCTGTTCCCCTGGGAGGGAGGGCAGAAGGAATGCATGTCACCTCATGGAATCCTCAGACTCTCTTGGGTGGAAAGGGCTTCCCACTGGAGTCAGAGGCTCATACACATTCCTCATGGACAACTGGAAATATTCTTCTCTGTGTAAGGTCAGGAACTGAGACTTGGTGATGTGTGCTCAGTGACTTGACTCTATAGCTTGACTAGAATAAATGGAACCACAGTGTCTGATGCCTTGCAGGGTGTCTTCAAATTTGCAAACTGGTCAGAAGTAACCTCACACCCAGTCAGGGGTCAAAATAATGTAGGCGTGTGTTCATTTTCCACCCAGAGCAACCAAATCCCGCAGTGGCTCCCGCGCAGCCCGGGACCCTTCCCCACTCACCTGATATTTCTTATTTATTTCGATAAGTTTAGTATATTCCTCTGAGCCTTCTTTAAAGTTCAGGACACATAAACACAGATTCCTGCAGAACAGACAAAAGAGGTGCCCCACCCCACCAAAATCGCTGTCTGAGTTCATGATGCAGAAATGGTGGCTTGAGATTCAGAATCTGTTTAACTTGGAGGCATCAGGAGTCTGTGCTCATGGGAGCCCTGGCTGGCTAACCTGTCAACTGTACCAGATGAAATGGAAGGAAATTTCCCAGAGCTGGATTTGCTCCTGAAGATGAAACAGTTACTTCTGACATCTACAGGAGTGATTTTTTGGAGCTGAGTTATCTCATGACTGTCTGAGGACAGTCCAGTGCAGATAAGGCATACTTCCTTTTAAATAATGACAGTGACAACACCAATAATGATAACAGTTAAGGCACATGGAATACTTACTGTGCCAGGAGTTGTGTGGGTAGTAGCCTGCCCAGTCCTCTTTAGCTATTCTAGAAGCTGTATTATCATTACCCCCTTTTGATAGATGAGAAAACTGAGGTTCAATGTGGTCATTTTCTCAAGGTCACACAGATCCTAAGCATAGGAGCCAGGACTTGAACTCAAGTCTGTCTCGTCTGAACCTGAGCTCTTACTTGCTGGTTAAACTGCTTCTGTGCAGCATGTAGCTCTGACCTGGATGGCCATCTTGCACATCTGGGCTTTTGGTCCAGGGGAATAAGGTGATAATAGTGTGGATGGCTCAGTGTAGACTTGGTACTGCCACTGAGACAGAACAGCAGAGGCAGGGCGCGCAGCACACTGGACAGGTCACAGGACAAGGCGACCTTGAGCCCGCCTAACCCACAGTCAGTGACTTGGCCATTTCAGATCTGAAAACGAAATTGGCAAATGCCTACCCTGAACCTTAACTTTCATTGTCTACAAACCCTGCAGTGATTGGCAGCAAGAGACTCTCAGTGAGCTGCTCTGAAACAGAATGAAGCATGGAACCCCGAGTGGCCCAGTGACAGGAGAAAGTGGGAGCCAGGGGATGAGTCAGCAGCTGAAAATAGCATGCCTGGCACCAGCTGCATTGATAGGCATGTGTCACCCAGCAGCCATCCTCCTGCTCTCAGCACCCTCAGGCCTCCTGAGGGGACCTGCGCAGTCTGGGCCCCCAGGTGAGGTTTGGCATGGATCTTCAGGGGAGCAGCCAAGATACCCCTTCATTTCAAAGAGCAAACCTGGCCCTTGTGAATTACTCATTCAGCCATTCAGCCCCTATGCTGTGCTAGCAGTGACTCAGACTGAGTTGAGGGCTGTGGGGAGAGGCACATGAATAATTACCATGTGATATGCTTGGGGCTATGGTGTGGGGGGCTGGTGCAGAACTGGGGGGATGGGCATAGCCACCATGACCTCAGCGAATGGTCCAGAGGAGGCCTTGCAGGAAGCCGTGCTGCGTGAAATGTTCACGCTTGGGTTAGGACACCTTATTCCTGAGTGTCATGGAGGTGTGTGATATTGAAGAGGGAGCCACCTTCGTTTGGCTCTGGAGACTGGGGATGAAGAAGGCCTCCCAGGGGCCTTCCAGGACCAGGGATCTCTGTTCTCCCAGGAATACTCCATCCTCTAGACTCTCCTGGTTCTGATTTCACCACCCTCTCCTCCATCAAGTGACAACAGCCCTACATTTGTGAATGCCCAGCTTGGAGCACCATGCCACACAGGGGTTCCCTCTGTCCTAGCAATGGGCCCCTGGGAGCTCTAAACACACTTAAAAGTAGGCCCTGCCCGGCTGGCTGTGGCTCAGCGGTTGAGCATCGACCTAGGATCCTGGAGATCGCGGCTCGATCCCCAGTCGGGGCACATGCCCGGGTTGCTGGCTCGGTCCCTGGTCAGGGGTGTGCTGGAGGCAGCTGATCCATGACTACTCTCTCATCATTGGTGTTTCTCTCTCTCATTCCCTCTCCCTTCCTCTCTCTCTGAGGTCAATAAAGACATATTTGAAAAGGGGGGGAAAAAAAGTAGGCCTAGCAGAGGCCCCTCCGTTCCTCATGCTTGGCACCTCCCTCCCTGGGGGAATGAAGGGCGTCCTGAGCTGCCATAACCGAAGCCTGTTGGGGCTGCAAATGCATACCGTGCGGGTAACAGATCCACTGCAGTCCCAAATGCCTCCTTCGTTAGACCTCGCCAGGTTAGAAAAGGGGGCAGTCTCAGCACTCTGCACGCTTCTGCCCTTGGGTTTTCTAACTCGGCAGGGGCACTTTCTGCTGAGGGGCTGCGGCCCTCTCGGGCCCAGGAGGAGAAGCTTACATGAGGATCAGCCGTGGGCAGTAGACTCTATTGTCGTTGTACAGCTCCTGTAGGCTGGAGATCTCCAGCACATTCACCAGGTTCACAAACGCCCGAGGAACCTGAGCAGAGACAAGGTTAGGCCCTGAGAGGACTGAGGCGGGCAGGTCCTCCTGCCAGGTGTCTGGGCATGGCCTCCCCTCTGGCCCCATCCGCTTCCTTCACCCCAGCCTCCCCTCCCACCCCACTCCCCATCGACACCTATGTGTTCTGGCTGCTGGGACCAGGACTGAGAAAAGGGTCATGCTGGTCTGCAGGCAAAGGCCACCTGATAAGGAGGCCTCAGCCAGAAGCTGGAGCCACCTCCAGGCTAGTCTGAGGCCCAGGGAGAGCTGTGGCTGAGCGGCTCAGAGGTCTGTGACCCAGTCTCTGTACCTCAGCATGGAGGAAGTCCAGGGCACGCTTTATGTGGCTGATATAGTTCTCGGGAGAATACACGTCCTGCAGGAAGAGGAAACATCTAAGACCATTTGTCACCCAATCTCTAGGCAGGCCAAGGCCACTTCTTCCCTTGGGTCCCCTTTTTCTTGTATTTCAGCCAGAATGGGCAACACTGAAACACAGGTTTGCCTTAGGGCTCCCAGCCTCCACCCCGACGCCCCCGTCCTCAGGCTTGTCATGGCTGTGACCCTTTCTTCTACATGTGGCCTTCTCCCACATGGAGCTATGGAAAGCTCTAGACCCACTTCCTGTGAACTAGATGCAGGGCCTTAGCTAAGGCACATCCCATCTCGGGGCCCCTCTCTCATGGGGCGTTGGAGCAGAGGACCTCTAAGATCTGCAGCTTGAGCATCCCCTGGTCCTCTGCCTTGATCTCTCTGCTTAGAGCCTCACGTGCCTGGGACCCCACAGCCCAATCAGATCACTCAAGGAGACAATGGAGGGAAAGAGGGTCCTGTGCAACTCCTCTCCCCAGCATAGGCACATTCTGATGGTTAATTCTCTTGATTTTGATATTTGTGGTTCTTAAAGTTTTTTAAAGCAGTGGAACCCTTTCTGAATGAATTCTAACCAAGAGCCCTGCTCTACCAAACGAATCAAAGTTGCAGGAAGAGGGGGAGGACCCATGATCCCACCCTCCCCCCACACCTGCCCCAGCAACCCCAGGGCTCCACTGTGGGCCCCTCACATCAGAGCTTGAAAACCCCAGACCCTGGTGACTTTGATGCCAGGAAAGTAGAGGTCTGGGGGCAGGGTCACCCCTCAGGACAGGCGCTCACAGGCCACAGCAAGACTCACCACTTCCTAAATTTTGCTCAGCTGGTCCCTTTCCTGCCTGACAAATGTCCTAGACTTCAAGTGCCAGTTGGAAAGTTTCCCACTCTGTGAAACTTCTGACACTCCTCCCACCCCCACGCCAAATTCCCATGGCAATAATCCTGACTTCAGACCGCTGTGTGCATCACCAGAACCACATCATGTTATGGTGAGCTGGCTGTGTCTCCCTCCCCCGACAGGGTGAGTTTTTTGAGGACAGAGCCTGGGTTTCACTCATCTGCCTAGTTCCCAGTACCGTGGCTGGCATATAATATGTGCCCAGCAAATGACACTAGCGGTAAAAAACATCCTGTTTATCAGAAAACACTCTAAACAAAACTAAATGGAAGACAACAAATAGGCAGCCTATTTGACAAAGGGTTAGTATACTTACTATAAGGGTTTTTCATAAATCAATAATAAAAAGGTAAATACCTTAATAGAAAATGGCCAATAGGCACAATATAGATTTTTCAAAAGGAGAGATCCAAACAGGGAAATAAAAATTTATTCCTACCTAGTAAGTAAATAAATGCAAAATTTGAAAACGATATAATATAATTTTTTCATTCATCAGATTAGCATTTATTAAATAACATACATTACCAGTTGGAATGTGGGGAAATAGGCATAATTGGTATAATCATTCTGGGAGCAGTTTGGCAATATGGATCCAAAGCATTAAAAATGCGCAGAGTCACCCTGGCCAGTGTGGCTCATTTGGTTAGAGCTTTGCCCTGTGCACTGAAAGGTCGCCAGTTCAATTACCAGCCATGGCACATACCCAAGTTGTGGGTTCCATCCCGGCTGGGGTTTGTATGGGAGGCAACGGATCCATGTTTCTCTCTCACATCAATGTTTCTCTCTCCTTCCCTCTCCCTTCCTCTCTCTCTAAAATCAATAAAAACATATTTAAAAATAAATAAATAAAATGTGCAGAGTCACCAAAAAATAAGATAGATGGGTAGATATGTGTTAATACAGCACAATATTAACAACTGTAAAATCTAGGTAGTGGGTATATGGGCACTTACTACACAAGTCTTTCAGTTTCTCAGTATGTTTGGAAATTTTCATAATAAAACAATGGGGATGTATACACACTGTTTTGCTTATAAAGCTTACTGCTTAGAATATAAGGTGCCCCCCAAAATGTATACACACTTTTATAGCTGATAACTCACTTAATTTTGAAAATGAACTGTATGTTAATAAACACTGAATTTGTAATCATTCAAAGCATGCATACATTTTTTGAGACACCTTGTATATACCAGGAAACAATTGTGGATGTACATAAAGATGTTTGTTTATCCTGGTGTTATTTATAATTGGGTCTTTAGCTTATGTTGTGTATAGTAGTAATGTAAGCTAAAGACCCAATAATTGGGAACAGTTAAGTAGATTATAGCCAATCTGTATCATAGGCTACTATATAGCCATTAAGGATTATTTCATAGAAAAATAAACATTGATATAGGAATAGCTTCCCAATGTGTTGCTATCAAAAAAAAAAAAAAAAAGCAAAAAAAAGCAAAAAAAAAAGCAGGTTACCAAATAATATTTTCAGGATGATGCCATTTTTAGAAAATAATAAAGCATTTTCTCCACTTTCACAGGTAACGCTAGACATTTATCTAAGTGTTATAACAGTGGCATTTCTGGATGTTGTAATTAGGTTACAGAGAATATTTCTCTCTCTGTACTTTGATGTGTTTCCTGTGTGTATTACTTGCACAATTTAAAAAAACAGTATTTTTTTTTTTTTTTTTAAGTAAGCTGAATTGAATGTAGAAGAGACATGCCCAGCATAGGCAGGACTCAGGAAGGAGATTTGGGCTTAACACAAAGAAACACCATAAAATAATTTACACCTATTCAGGACACTAATCAGGGCTATCTTACAAATTAAAGAGCAACTGGAAATGTTCAACAACTAGATTCTACGCAAGGATTTTTGTTGTGGGTGGAGGCTGGTCAGGATGGCTTGTGGGTTTTTTTCCAACTTAGAGAATCTGGAATCCGGGAAGAAGCACCGAACCTACAGGGCAGTTGCCTGGCTCTTGGTTTCCCATCAGCCCAGAATGACTGGGCTCTGAACTTTGCCCAAGTGCCTGTGTTAGGAAATCAACTTTCCCATACAAGTGACAGCAGAAAACTAGAGATGATGAGGCAGTTGAACATTGGAGAAAGGAGCTGACTTATAATGATCTATGAAGATGTTGAGATCATTGGAATGCCATCTTGGTTTCTAGAAGGATATCAGGCTCCCTTGATAGAAAACCTAATCAGGGTTAATCTCATCGTCACTTCTGCTTGTCTGTTGAATCTCCTCCTGGAGGTGAATGCCGCCTTGGTCTTGGCATTATTCCGAGGCTGGATCCATGCCGGACCACAAGCCTCAAGTCCCAACCCAGCTGCACTGCTCCAGGAACCTAGCATGGAAATCCTTTCCTGGGGGGAGACTTGAGTTAAGGCCTGGGACCTACCATATCTTTGCAGAAATCACAGAGGTCGTTGCCTCCTATAAACACGGTTATTATCTTCCAATCTTCCTTAAAATTTATACCCTGAGATGGATAGAAAACAAACAAGTAAATGCCTTACCTCAGAGTCAAGTCAAGAAAAATACAAAGTACTGAACACTCGCAGGGATGGGTCCTCACACACCACAAGGCTTAGAGGACATTGACATTTTCTGTTCTTTTGGTTTTGGGGTCCTGAGGTCATAGATCACAGGTCATAGGTGCTAAATCACTGGAGGTTGTATTTTTTTTTAAAGGTGGACTCTATGGGCTTCCATGTGGCCCTGTCCTCCACCAAAGCTGACTGACTATGTCTCCATGGATTTCTCCTGCCCAACCCTGATCTGGGAAGTCCTACCTCAAGTGGTCCCAGGTGGCTCCTCCCCAAGACTTACCGTGTGATTCTTCATCAGGTTCACCAGCATCATGGCCTCACCAGGTAAATCCCTGCAGCAGACACAGGAAGAAGTCATTTGAGGAGCAGGTATGAAGCTGGGGCTGGTAGGGGACTTAGCAGAGAGAACAGGAATAAAATACGTAGCAGGAAAGTTGTACCTAAGGCCATGCTCCTGTCACAGAGCTGGGGGTGGGGGTGGGAGTCATGCCTACGCCTTGGGAAGAGCAGAACACTCCACATATGAGGAGGTAACTGCTAGTGGAACTGTTTCCCGACTGGTGTATTTGATGACATCCTTTCTTTCTCTCCCAAGCCAAGCTCGTTCAGGGCAAACAGGCTGCATGTGAGTGTTTCATGTCATGCATGGCTCATGCCATGACCTCAGCCTCAAGGGGCCCTCACTGTCAAGGTGACATCATTGAGTCAGACATAGAGATAAACCCCCCATCTTAGAGGGCCATTGGGAGCAGTAAGTGAGATGGGCAAAGCAGCCCATGGAGTGAGAGCCCTTACTAGTGCCAGACAGCATAGGCTTGAATCCTGGTCCCACCATGACAAGCTCTGAGACCTTGGCAAAGTTCTTGACCTTGCCCACTCTCAGCTGTTTCCTTTGTAAGACAGGGGTGGTAAGCATACCTTCTTCACAGAGTTGTTGGGCAGATTAAGTAAGGCGCCCACAAAGACACATGGTAACAGCACAGGGTAGCACCCATATTATAAAGAATCCATTGAACTACTTGTGCCATCTTTACACCATTGTCATCAGTAAAGTCCCTGGCACAGTGCCCAGCAGGAAGCGTTAGCTGCCACCCTCTTCCTCTCTTAATGATTAGCCCAGCTGGTCTGGTCGTAGTCACCATAGACTAGGTATCAGTTAGCCTGGGTGGGAACTCTGGGTAAGCCACGTAACCTCTTTGAGCCTCATCTTTTGAAGTTATCAGAGCAGTTGCTCTTTCTATGGGCCAGAGTTTTGGGATGATTCATCGACCTCTCTGAGCCTCAGGATCATCATTAAGAAAACATGAGCCCAGCCAGTGTGGCTCAGCGGTTGAGCATCAACCTAGGATCCAGGAGGTCATGGTTCGATTCCTGGTCAGGGCACACGCCTGGGTTTTAGGCTCGATCCCCAGTAGGGGGCGTGCAGGAGGCAGCCGATCAATGACTCTCATCATTGATGTTTCTCTCTCCCTCTCCCTGCCTTTCTCTGAAATCAATAGGAAGGAAGGAAAGGAGGGAAGGAGGGAGGGAGGG